GCTGGCGAGGTGTGCGCTGCAGGAGTGTCTGAACAGGTGGCTGTTGTTGCTGCTGTTGCAGGCCCGGCAGCAGCAGGCAGAGCTGGCCCAGCAGGAGTGGTTACAGATGCAGCAGGCGGCCCAGCAGGCTCAGCTGGCAGCGGCCTCTGCCAGCGCCGCGAGCCAGGCCGGCTCCTCTCAGGACGAGGACGAGGAGGACGACATGTGAGCCGAGGGTCCCGGGGGCGCTGGCCTCGCTGCAGCCCCCCGCAGCGCCGACTTCCTCTTCTTCTGCACGTGTCGGGGGGCGGGGGCGTCGGCCGAGCTGCGATGCCTTCTGCCCGTCGGTGGAGTCCAATCAGACTGTACTGTCTCCCGTTCAGTTTCTTTTGTTTTGTTTTAAGATCGCGCCATCGGGGAAAAGCTGAACTAGCTGTTTTTCTTTTTGTGTTTTTCCCCCCATTACGTCATACTATGAAACCAGACAGTTTGGCTAGTTTTGTTTTGTGCTTTTAAAGTGACCATCATCTTACCTGTGGTTCCCCCACTTGCCCATCTTCCCTTTCGCCACTTTTTGTTTCTTTCTGTACCAGTATGGAGGTTTTCTTCAACAAGTCGGTGATCTTGCACACGTGGCCGAGATGAAAGACCTTTACATTTCCTGAACAGCAGCAATGTCAGCAAAGAGGATGCCTAAATCAAACATACACATAATCAAAGTGTGGTGGGAAAGTGTTCACATTCTTCAGGTATTGCCCCCTTATTTACCCTTTTGTATTAATATATTTTCCCTTTACAAATCTAAACCCCTCTGTTGGAATAGGTGTAGCAAAACAGGTCTTATTGATCGCGATTTCTTTTGACCCCTTAAAAAACTCATGTATGATTTGCCCTGTTCATATGGAAATATTCTCCCCTCCCCCCTCCCCCCTGCCCTTATAAGCCCTTTAGTGATGCACAGAGCTTCGCGTAAAGACTTTGAAGAAAGTTTTTGCACCGTTTTGTAAAATGAAATGTGACTTTTGGTTACTTTTAGGTACTTTTTTAAAGAAGTAGTGATGAGATGATGAAGATAGGTTGAGGCTTTTTTTTTTTCTCAGAACAGTATTGCAGTTTATAACTTACTGCTCACAGGAAGTAAAACCTGGGGACAAATAGGAATTACTTTCATCCTGTAGTACCAAAGAGAGAACTACCCTGGCAGGAAACAACCCCCACGAAGAAGCCTTGGGTGCTAAGGTAAATTTAATGTAAGACATTCTGGATCTTCTCTGCATAAATTTTCCATGTATAAGAATAAACTTTAAGGTCTTCTGCTTGTGTAGTGAGTACAAAAATGTAATTTTCACATTGTAAGCTTGTTTGATTAGTTTTGATACCCGAGGATACGGATTTTTCATGAGCAATGTGTAAAATCTGCATTGTGAATGTGTGGTGAATCATAAGTGATGATTGGTGACTTCTAATGGCAATTACCTGTTTCACGCCTTTTCACAAGCTGTATTCTCTAAGCAATAAAATTGACGTTTTATAAAAAGTGAATTGTGATGAATGTAAAATGTATTTCAGAACTGTTTGCTGCCTTTCCTCCACCTCTGCTTAAGAGTTTAAAATAACATGCTGCTAAAATCTCATGCCCCCGACTCCCCGAATGTTAGTCTGATTTAAATTCATCATTCTCAATTGACAAATGAGAATTTTAAAGACTCGGAACATAAATCCTTCAGTTTTTTACTCGCGTCTTCTTATGCAGTGTAGCGGGAGAGAGAGCTTATCCGGGCAAGCAGTGGGTGCAAGGCAGGGTTCACCCTGGATGGGACACTAGTCTATCGCAAGAAAGACAAACACTCTCACGCCTGGGCCAGTCTTGCCAGAAACCAGTTAACGTGTCTTTGGACTGTGGGAGGAAACCGGAGAGCCTGGAGGGAACCTACATGAACGTGCTGTGACCTGTAATCAGCTTCCCGACTAAAGACTTGTCTTGGGGAATTTTTCAGGTGGGTGGGTGTTATAATTTCCTTTACTGTTTTGGTGCATTTTTCACAACCCTTTTGGTATTTTGAAAACCCACATTACAAAATGTACACGTGGAATCTGTAGGTGGGACAGGAAATCAAACCCATCCAACAGATTTCCTTTGCCCGATACCAGATGCCACAGGCATGCAGACAATCCAGTGTGGGTTCTTGCAGCTTCGTTAGTGACCACAGGGCGGCGCTGCTGTTGTAGCTAGAACCGCGTCTGGTATCACGGTTTTCCGCAAACAGTTACAAGGATGCGGTCTGAGAAACAGGGAGATCAAAAGCAGCTGAGTTAAGCATTCCCATGACGAATGCTTCTTCCCCCTCGCTCGCCTGATCCGTAGTGAAGTAACGTTCGTGTTCTTGTTGCTGCATGCTGCTTCAAGTCTGGGAAGCTGACAGAAGCTTAACTGAGAGCACGTTTACAGTCATATCTTCCAACTGGGATCAATTAAATGAAAAGCCTGGTTTGAGTAGCTTTGCCTCAGAGAGATGTAAGGAGAGATAAAAGCCTTTCCTTTTCTGACTCAGTTCCACAAGGCTCTGGCACCAGCGATTAATAATTGATAGCAATGTTTTTTTTTAGCAGGCAGCGAAATTAGCTGTTTTTGCAGCGGGCTTTTCTTTAGAGTAGAGATGGTGCTCAGTACAGCAAATGCTCTCCATCAGCTTTGTGTGAAGACTGGGCAAATGACAGGTTTTCCTGTGAGAGTCACTTGGTGTTTTTGTGAAGTATCAGATGTTTATATTGCAAAAAAAACCTTAGGTCCTGAGCATTTGGCAAGGAGAATTTAATACTTGAGACAGCTGACGAATATTTCCTGCTTGGGGGAGTCCTTAAGATATAATGAAAATTCCTTTGAAAAGCGTTCTCTAAAAAATGTCAAAGCACATTTGGAATCAATTTATTTTTTCTCCTTTTAATTGGTACCACATTCGTGATAAGCATGCCAAACACAGGCTGCAACCCGAAGTGCAATCGCTCTCAACAAGCTCGTGCAGGAAGCTGTTTTGTTCTGTGAGTCTCTATTTAAAGAGCCGCATTTCTAAATTAAGTTGCAAAAAAAGAGCCATGTTTCTAAGGTGTGTAGCTGCTGTGCCGTCCAGGACACTTATGTGTTTTGTGTGTGTGTGTTGAGACAGTTTGGGGTTGAAAGCCCTATGGGCTTTGTAATTGAAGGAAGCTGATCCCCACAACAAATTATAATAGATTTCACCCCCCTTCAAATCTCACAAGGAACAAGACTAACTGTAAATTAAATCTCTCATGAATCATGGCAAAGTCTATCTTCACACACGCGTTCATACCTACGTAAGTAATATGGTGACTCCAAACACAGGACAGTGAGAGAATTCTCCTTCCTGCTGGGACAGGGTGTTCTGTATCCTGGGGCCCAATTAAACTGCTCCTCTTAAGCGGTTTCAGTGGGAAGCTTGTGTTGTCCCAGAGAGTCGGATTTGAGTTGAATGGGGCGGTCCTCGCAGCGATCGTTGTGCCTGGGGCTCTGGAGGTGTGTGGGGTAACGGGGGCCAGTATAAATGTTGTTGTGCGAAGGCAGGCATCTCCACAGGCCTCCGTTCGAGTCACTACAACAACGCTGTGGGAGGTGGGGAGGGGAGGAGGGGGCTGTTCTTTGTATCAGCTACCCTCTGGGATACGGGGGGTGGCTACTTGAGAAATCATCCCATCTCCCCCCTTTCCGCTCCGGCATATCCAGAACCATCCATTCACGTCCGCAGCAGGAGAGCGGGGGATTACTCCGGGCGAGCGCTGTGAATTCCAGAGAGTGCTTTCTTTCCATCTCGCAGCTGGTGGCAAGGGGATATTGCAACATGAAAGCAGCCCTGTCAGTATCAATCATCGTTACTCGCGCCGCTACATTCCAGAGTTTCTGCTGGCCTCATTTTTTTTTGTAAAACTCCACAGTGACTGAAAGGACCCCCCCCCTCCCGGCTGGGATACTGCTAGGTGATTCATTCCAGTTTTTCGGCTCGCTTCGTCCTCAGTCATGGATACTGGGATATGTCCTCTAGTAGTGTACTGTTGCTGCTGCTGCAAGCTCTCCCCTCCCATGTGTTCCCATTAGCTTGGAGCCCATTTGTAAATAACGTCACGCAAATCTGCTGTTCCGGACTCTCGCCCCCTTGCTAAGGGTCTGCTAAGTTTACATTTCCCCCTCAGTCCCCCACTGCGTTCTGCCTCTTCCATAGAGAACGGAATAACACTAATAAGCCAGCATGACCACACTTGCACCTTACTCCCCAGTCTGCTTTCCAGCATCCCAGTTCATTATCCCCATGATGCAAATGCTCTGTTAAAACATGGAAAAAGTTATTAAGAAATAATATTCACTAACCAGTGTCTCCTGTGTGTGAGAGACATGACAATCCTGTCTTTACCTCTAGAGGTACGTGACTTTTCAAATAAATTAAATCGCTGAATGTCCAGTTTGCGTCCAGACATCCCTGGAAGAAGTCCAAATACTAAAGGAGTGCTCCATCCAGGTGCACCTCTCTGAGCGAGCAGCAGAGCAGTAGGGCTTTCCTCTTCCCCAGAAGGGGCTTCACACACTTGACTTGGACTTTCCTGAACACTTTGAGCTCCAACAGGCAAGCCTGGACATTTAGCATTCACATCACCTGCACGTCGCCCGAGATCAATGGACTTGGAATATCAGATTGCACTCAGGTTCTGTCTTGTAAGGTGCTCTCTGGAGGTAAGCCACAAGATCTTAAGGTAAAGAAGAAGTACAAAAAACCCAGAGTTTTGGAGATCTTATGGGATTAATGACAAGTAACACACGCACTGTATACCTAGGCTTTTCAGTGGGATTATCACTAACACTTTAATCTTCGTGAGGTTTAGGGTTAGTTTAGTGCGGTGAACATATAGTTTAAACATGCTGTGCATTGGAACCCATAATGCCTGGTCCTGCTCAACGCCAGTTAAAGGTGGCACTGAATTTGCCACCCTGTGATTAAAAGAAGTGCCTGTAAAAACAGACAAACTGGACTCATTGCAGCTGAGTAATAGGCGCTGGCACACCCAGCGTTTCAAAAGCCTCACTGTAAATATTTATTTGGCCAGATTCCCTTCACAGTTAATTTTTCTTGTGCTGGCCAGGGACGGTGTTTGAAACGAGATTAAAGCAGGTTCCTCTTAGATACAATAGCATGCGGGCAGGTGCCAACATGTAAACTACTCAGGCTAAGTGCAGCCCTGCTGGCCTGGCGGCACGATGTGAAAAATTGATAGCACAGTTTAATTTTAGCTGCAAGCATTTCACGGGCCTTCTGTAGGTGACAATGATTCCACGTTCAAAGCCTCGGATGGAAAGACCAGACAGAAGCCGACTGAGGGAGATGTTAAGTCAGGGAGCCATACTCTGGCGAGTCTAGACACAGGATCAGATTCTGGGCACTGACACTGCACGACCCCCTTCATGTCTGCTGTGTTTTAGCACTTGCTTTCCAGAAGCATACACTTCTATTCAACAACACCCCGTTACATTTGGAAAAGGATGTCCCTTTTACTAGTATCTTGAAAAAAGGGAGCAGAGAAAATGGCTAGAGTTAAAGTAAATGTCCAAACACTCAAGTCAAACACAGGGCTATGGTTTCACCGTGGAACGCTGGGGCCTTTCATGAAGAACAAGTGAACGATGACATCACAGGGCTACTTAGGAATAATTTTCTTGTGGTAAAAATGTTTTTGTCCAACAATTATTGAAAAATGTTAAGAGTCACTGTATGTGCTTTACATTTTCGCTTAAAATCTTACCACTTCTTCACTGTATGATAAACACAGCTTCTGAAACATGCTTATCAGCCACAAAGATATCAAATATATGCTGGACTAATGAGTCACGTGAGGGAACAGCTTTAGTGAAGGAATCCATTCGTGTGAGGTGGCTGAATCCCTGCGATAGTTGACAAAGAATACACCTCTCTTCAAAACGCTTGCTGAAGAGATGAAAATATGCTTATCATTTACATCAAATGCAAATCTTTTTAAACTGACTCCAATGCTGCACTTCCCTGATTCTTTCTTATATCCCATCTATACAAGTGTTTAATTTATGCATATCATCATAAGCATTGCGTGTATTTATAAACTGCATTTTATAACAAATGAGGCTTTACTGCACTGAACTCACTCCCCAGCCACATCCAGAACTACACCTGAGAACAGAGTCCAAGGGAAAGGGAACACTGAGATGAGACGCTTCACTGGTGACAGGCTGGTCTCATTGTGCCTCCTGTTCTCAGTTTTCCTTCTGTCCTCTGGGTTCTGTTTCGCTGTTTGTTCTGAAGAGTTCCGCTGGGCTGACACTGCCCGTGTCTTTGAGGATTGTGAACATTTGTATCAGGTCTCCTCGTGGTCTTCTCTGTCCGAGACAAACGAGCTCCGGTTTCTTCAGCCTGTCAGTGTGGGACAGTCCATTAAGCACTGGGATCTATTATGTTGCTCTTCTCCGGACTAATTCCTGAGCAGTAACATCTTGTCTATAAGTGGTCACCGAAATTGTACACCTTATTCTAAATGAGGTCTTAATAGTGAATTATTTAATTTTAACATCCCTTGATTTAAAATATATGTTTGTAACTATAGATCTCCATACATTTGGCCTTTTATTGCATCTAGAAATAGGTAGATTCTTCTACCCATGTTTCCAATTTTATATCTAGAATTTCTGTTTTTGCTACCTGTATGTAAATATTTTTAACTTTCCATTAATCATGATCTGCTATGTGTTTCTTCCATTCTTAAATTTGATCTAATCCTTTTTTTTAATTGCATTTCCTACTTCAAATGTGTTTGCTGTTCCTCCTAGACAGGTTTTGACTGCAAACATGTCAGGCTGACATCCCGATCATTGCTATAAATTCAAGAGGGTCAGCGATCCTGTGGTACTCTAGTAAACACATCACCCCAGTCTGTGCATTCATTCCATATCTGTCTTCTTTGTTTTTATTCACTAATCAATTTTTAATCCAAACACACACATTTCCCAAATGCCTACCGCCAGTCATTTTGGGACTTGTGTCAATACTAGAGTTCTAGAAGAACTTTTTATTTATTTAAGCCTCCGCTGCAATATTCCTTTCCAATGTCTCTCTTGGCTTTTCCTCCTATCTTTTTTAACCCGTGCTTACAATTCTCTGGCATCTCTTTCGCTTTACATGTATCCAAGTTTTCTTTTCCCTTATTAACTTTCTTATTGATTTGGTAACCATTGGCACACCATTATTAGCTTTCGATGTCCTCGCTTTTAGGACAAATCTGTTCTGCAATAGAAGCAGAATGTTTTTAAACGTTTGCCATCCGCCCTCCACTCTTCCCACACCCACCCTGTCTTATTCCTCCGAAGTCTGATTTCTTGAAATTGTGTCTTGCCGGAGAAGACGAGATGGATAGCACCTTTCCCCTACAGGTGTCCCAAGCGGTCATGAACTCGGTTTGCCAATTCTGTTTCTGCAGGTCGCCTTTCCCCAGTGTACGTGCGATGACTTCCAATAAAAAAAAAACCGCTTCTGCTTATGCACACAAGTTGTTCGTGTCATTGCAGGACGTTCAGCTCTCGTTATTATCTGATTCTGGTGGTCTACCGTGTGTAACAGTGTACCTCTGGCATGTTCATTTGTGTTAATTAGCCGGACCGGTATACATCCAGAGAATTCTGATTCCTCTAGTTTTAGTTCCAGAGCCTGAAATCTCGGTTCGATCTGTAACGCTACACCTCCCGTCTCTGCAGCGTGTATTTACTAATGTTGCCTTCATTCCCTCGCATTCCGACAGCCGTGTCCCTGAGATCCCAAAAACGTTACCAGTGTCTGCTGGTGGATTCCCTTTCCCCCACACAGCTTGTTCCTAATTCCCCTGGAATGTGGCTACAAGCGCTTAATTAGCTGCGTCTGCGACTTGGCTTCTCCCTGTGAGTTACAGTAGCTCCGCGTGTATTCTCCTTGTAGGTTTTCGTCGGCTGTCTCCTCCCTTCCGTTTTATTTTATTTTTATTAGTGTTGGTGCATTTCTAATCCTGGGCATCGAAACCGGAGAGGACCACCAGAAAGCCCCAACCTTTATTCCTTAGGGGAAAGGGTTGAATTCCGCCTTTAGGCGAGAAGACTGTTTGATTTATTCTGTATTAATGAAGACGGAGTAGCTCGCTCGCTCGCCCGTATTTAGCAGTCGCCGTCAGCCTGCAGGACGATCGGGAGAGTCATGTGATTGAGTCTTTTTCCCTCGCCCTCCTTTAAAAAGCTTGAAGGCAGCAGCGAACCAGACACAATCTCGGGCTCCGTGTCGGCTGTTGTGTGCAGCGCTTTTTCTTTTTAATCTGTTTTTAATTGCGAAGTTTCCCCCCCAGAACTTTTAAAGATGGCCGGGGCAATTATCGAAAACATGAGCACCAAGAAGCTGGTAATCGTAGGAGTTACCTTGCTTATCTTCCAGGTGCTTTCGTTTCTAGTCGGAGGTTTGATTGGTGAGTTCTGCTTCGTTTGCTGTAACTTTCTCCGGTGCCGTTTTGTCCCCCTCCCGCTTCCTTTGTTAGCGATGTGTTACAGTATCAGTGACTCGCTCCTATGATCTAATTAGTGCGGCTTTTGTACTTTGAAAAGCAGAGCTCCGTGGGGCTCATTGAGAGGACGTATCGTTTTTTTTTAAAGGCTCTTTTTTTGTTCTGAAAAGAGAAAAGTTTTGGCCTAGTTTCAGTATTGAGTTAAGAAGGGGGGGGAAAATGTTGGAGCATGGCGACTGGTGGCGTGAATGAGTTGTATAGGATTTCAAAGTTTTACTTGCACGCTGCTTTGATTTCAACAATGTCCCCGATTCAGCTTGAACAGGGAGGTGTTTAAGGCGACGACTTTGCTTTTTGTGTGCATCTGTGAGGAAATCCTTCGTCGGGTCAGCTGAAGGAAAAACCACCGCATTTGTATTGCATATACCTCGCAGGAGTGTTTCGTGTTTGCCCATAGCTACATTCTGCTGGGAAGTTGTCCATTTCTCGAAGCGATCGCTGCAGCAGTTTTGTTTTAACGTAGCGCTGTCTTTGTCGTTATTTTTCTTTCTGTTACAAAACATCTGGAGACGAAAGTTTAAAATGACTCAGCTGCAGACGAACACCGCGAATCCTAAGTGATTTTTATGGATCCGCCTGTATCCATTTGCTTCGTCCTAATTGTTCATTCAATGGTTATTTGAAAACAATACCTTTTGCTGCACCGGCTTCTGTGAACTGCATTAACCAGTTATAGGGTTTTAAAGTTAAATTCGATATAAACTTGATCTGGTTCCTAATAACAAATAAATCCTGGTTGATTCAATGTGCTCTAGTTGACTTGCAGAAACTGAAGTTCATCGACCCGGATATCTTAAAAAAAAAAAATAGGGGTACTAGATTTCGATATCTGTGGATGCTTGTCTTAATCTTCACAGAACAAAAAAAAAATCCGAACTAGTACGTACACTCGAGTAAGATGTGCTGGGGGTTTTTGCTGGAGCCGTGGATATGTAGCCTTGAGGAGGGAAAGACTTCAGATTTCAATATCAAAGGGTTTCTCCGACCGTCCTGATGACGGGAACAGGACAGATATGAAGCGCTGGGAGGGGAAACTCGTTCGTTGCAGTGCAGGTATTTTTAAATCTTGGAGTTCCGCTCCATTATAGAACTGAAGAGGAATAATAAGGGTGTCTTTATTTTGTCAACAGATTCTTAAAATATTATGTAAATGTACAGTACTATGGCTACATTTAATACCACCACCTATTTACTCGCTATCTGAACGTGGGATTGTCCACTAATGTAGTTATTTAATATCTGTAAGATTCCCCCCCCGTTAATCAACACGAATTGTTCCCCAGGCACTGCGTGTGTGTGGACCATGCGTACACAGAACTGCAGGCGGCCCCTGTCCGGTTCTAAACGGCTGAACCGTCACGCCAAAGATCGGGAACGCCTCCGTTATTGATTCAAATTAAGCAAATCTGTTCAGGGCGGGACGCTAGTCATTTTGGTGGTTCCAGATCTCTAAAATAATTCAGTGAACAATTCTGCTTAACCGATCACGGTGAAATCTTTCTCAGTCTTTAGGAATGTCTTTAATGGTCGCTTATGAGACATGATCTGTGAAATTCTAAATAGGAGGGATTTTACACAGAATTCTCATAACCCTCTGTGTGCTGACTTCACTATCGCTTTTACATCGTCTGTAAAGGGACGTAGTGATGAGATTCGCAGTACGTTAACCGGGCTTATTATACCCAAACACACATTGAAAATCTACCTCTACCTCACATGTCAAAAGCTCACTCCCCATCATTTCTACCCCTTTATTTTATTCTGTTGACGCATATTTTTGCACATCGTCTGTTGTTGTTTTTTGCACACTGCCTGTTGTCTCTTTCTTTTGCTACACAATTGTGTTGTTGTTGTTGTTGTTGTTGTTGTTTTTTTCTCTTTGTACTACTTATGTCCGAGAGCTAGCTAAATAGCATTTCGTTATACCACATACCATGTATATGAGTGTAATGACAATAAACTTGAAGCTTGAACTATATTGTATTTCCTGCTAGTTAGGTGTTGGAAGGAAATACAGAGAATCGAAGCGTTGCCTTTCTCCTCAAGGTGGACTTTGCTCTCTGTGATGGAGGGGCAGGACGTGGTTCTGTGTGGAATCTAGCTCCATCCTCATTTCTTTCATGACGACTCCTTCCTGCCTCCGTGTTGTCCGGGGACTGCCTCGCTCCCTGCTTCTCCAGTCCTTGCACTTGCTTTCGGATTGTGGAGGGCTCAGCCGGCCTCCCCTCCCCTCCCGGCCCGCTCTGCGCTGCTGCAGTGAAGCAGCCTGCAGCAGGTCTCCTGTTTAGAACCCAGCTGGAACCTGTCGGGTTCTTGATGGGCTCCCGAAACGAGCTGGAGAGTAAGAGCTCAATATTTCGCGATGAGTACAAGTTAAAACTCATTTATTATTTTTCCCGAGAAGGTCTCATTGTGATTTATGAGGATACGCTCCTGCATTAGGAACAGGTTAAGGTTTATTCTGTGCTGATAAGAGAAGAAAAGACGTTTTGGCTGTGGAGCCTTCCTCAGGTGTCACAGGCTCCGCAGCTGAAACGTTGTTTCTTCTCTTCTCAGATGGGAATAAACCTTTACTTGTTCCTTTACAGCTAACGCAGCTCCCTACTTGAACCTCTCCTACATTAGCCTGCTCCATACAAAAATACTTTTCTCTGAATAACTTGTGCAGGGGAAGACGTGGATGGTGGAAGTGGCCGTGTATCGGAAAGGCCCACGATGAGCCTTTTTTTCCTTTTCAGGCGGCACCCCTGAAACCGATATTGGTTCAGGGTTGATCCCGAACTCCATCTCCCACCTGGCCTCATCAGAGCTGGAAGCAGGCTTGCACATGCGCTCCAGATGACAAACTGGAGTTGTCATTGTCCTGCCTGAGAACTCAACTGGAGCCAGAACCAGAATGTTAGACCTCCCGGACCAGGGCTGGGAACCACAGCAGTAGTATTTTATTAGGCTGTAATGCTGTGTGAAAGCTTTCACATTTCATGGTCGTGAGCTTGCCTGAGCAGGCGGCGGAGGCCTGTCTGTTTAGCATGCAACCCCCGTCTCTTCCATTCACTTGGCATGAGAGCTGGCTGTCCAGGACCTTTCCAGAGGTCTGTAAGTGCTGTGGCTGGCCTGCTGCTGCCGCACAAGGAAGGGTCGGCCACCCGGAGCTGTGCCCTGCTGTCCACACCGAGCCCCAGTCGGCCGCTGTCGTGACGCAGTGAAGACCTCCGACTGAGGCCCAGGAGACGACAGGGCCACCGAACGCGAAGACTGAGGCTCGGTGTGGAAGAGCAGGCCTGCCCGGGGGAAGGCTAGCGATGCTGGCAGGTGCTCTCCTACAGCGTGAACGTTTCGACCCCAAGGAAGGGTGTAGAGAAATGGAGGAAGGGGCCCTTCGAAGGCCTCGGTTTTCTCCTCCGGTTGTGGGGCTCTGTGGGGCTGCTCTTCTAAATGTCGTTGGGGAGTCTTGTGTGGGAGTGTTCTTGGTGGTGCTGTGCCCCATCACTGCTTTCGCTGTTTTTCTCCGCGGGCCCCCCTGCTGTGATTCCCATGTTGTTCCCTGATGACGAAGCAGTCCAGCACACCCAGGTACTAGGCCAAGCTCATGGGTTGCTTCTTTTTTTTTTTTAAAGCACTGAGGACAATCGCTATAAAGCAGTGATGTACTTAACCGGTTGTCTTTTCCTCCCTTTTTTTTTTAAAGCCGTTTTTGTAGAGTAGCCAGTGTCAGTCGGAGTCTGTGCATGTATAGGTGACTGGAGAGTACAAGTGAAGAACCAATTCAAATTCCTCGTGGGTATTTCTGCAGCGTGAAGGTGTCCGAGGTGCATGTTTATTGCCGGAGATGACGAAGCCAGCAGCTCGGGTGATTAAGTAGCTTGTTTAGGCCATCCTGCCTGTTTGATTTAATGAAGCCGAGCGCTATTGTACTTGCTCGGCAGTCAGCAGCAGCGCTGCCACAGCGAGGGTAATTGAGTAGAAAGACACACGGCTCTCTCTGTGTCGGGCAGCTCCACTCCGCAGGCCTCCAGACTGCGGGCTGTAATCGCTGTGGACACTGCAGCGAGGGGCAGAGGAGCAAGTTGGGCGTTCTGGGTCAGGGGTCAGTGGCCAATTTGATATCAAGAAGCATAATTTCAGTGAACTGCGGGCCATTCCTGTTGCCGTTTGTTTTTATTCTGCTGAAACATCCTGTAGCCTGTTGCTCTTTGACCTTGTGCCCTCTGGTGTCCTGTAGGGGAAGATCACTGTTTCAATTCTAAGAAGCTGGTTGTTGCCTTAATTGCAATTTGGCAATGCATGTCGGTATCAAACACTTGATATAGGAAGCTAAGAATATAGGCTGCAAATGAGAGGTCATTGTGGTCATTTGGCCCATCTAGTTGGTAATAAGTATAAATAATAGTACTGTGTAATTGAATATCTGAAGTAAACTTCAAATATTTTTTTGTTCTATGAGGTGGTTCATAATGTTGCAACATTGTTGCTTTATATCCTATAAAATGTTGTAGAAATCCAGAGCAAGCTACTGCTACCCAGCTGTGCTGTTGAAGCCGATGGCCGGTTTTCTCTTCATTTACACATTTTTTTTTTCTGAAAGATCCTCAATCAGCTAGCTATTAACTCCTAAAAGAGGAGGCACCTTTCTTATGCTCTGATGTAGGGAAAACTGAAGCTCCAGCTATTGCTTGGTTAGGGCTGCCTTTTCTTTAGATCTAGCGAAGACTGTGATTGTGCATTTACAAGCTGATAATTCCCCAGGTGTTGTACAGGGGGGTTTTCTTGTTCATCTTTCAAGTGAGGGTAGGGTTTAAATGTGTTTTATTGGCACATGCAATTCCTTGTTTTGTTTTTCCTTAAGCAACATGAAAGCTCAGAAACCGAGTTATTAGAAAATGGGGCTCTGTGATAAAGAATCTTATTTTCCTTTAAGAGTGGCCTAACTTGGAAATAATCGGATGTTTGCTCAGCAGTGTTACTCCACCCCACCCCCAGAAGAAATGAATACTTCTAGTGTTTACCCTTGCTGGCTAGACTGCTCACACCCTCATGTCTATGAGTAGTTCAGTCAGCGGTGGTGATGGGTCAGAAAATGTTCATTGGCAACCTTTTAAGGTCACCTCTGACATATTTATCTGATCAAACGGGATGTAATCGGCATCTGTCCGAGGCTCCTAAATGAACCTGTGGTCTCGGCGAGAGCCCTGGAAGACTTCATCATGGGCTGGCTGGCTTTGCTGGCTGAACTCTGCTCCACTGAAGTTATTTACTGAAGGAAACAGATGGCATGAAACTCCAAGATGCATTTCCCGGCAACCAGCCTGTAAAGAAAATGCTTTGTGGTTTTCAGGGCCAACCTATAACGTCTCGAGTCAGGAGGGGAGGATCTGTTTGCTATGAGGCAAAAAAAATAGTTTTTTTGGTGTGTTTCAGCTTTAGAGCAGGAATTTGCTTGACTGAGTTTCTCATTTGTTTAGACTGCAGCAGGAGGGTGTAGAGCTCTCTTTTGCGAAACGTCTTTGGGGTCCGCTTGCCACGCCTTCCCTGGCGAAGTGTCTTGTTAAAGGAGATGTGTGGGCCTGTCTTTAGCCTGGATGACCCATCAGTTAAGGCGCTGTCCTTAGTGCCAGCATCCGTCTGGCTCAAGGCCTTGAACAGGGCTGCTGTCCGTGCTCGTGCTGCCCCCGCCCAGCAGGTTATTGAGCCTCATCCCGGTCTTGTATTCCATCCTGTCTCTCTGGAAAGCCTTGGATCTCCTTCCGGCTCCTTGATGTCTTCCAGGTGACAGTGTGTTGGGGAGAATGCCATTATCCGCTAGCCCGCAGACATGCGCTCCTGAAGGAAGTGTTGGGTGAAGACTGAGTCTTTCTCATGGTAATTGTGGGAGGTTGCCCGTGTCTGATCTTCTCGTTTCAGTGCGAGGAGGTTTAGAAATGGAAGGAGGCAGTACCTGTTGGTTTGTCACTCCGCGACCTCAGTTATTCGTGTACCAGATCCTTGCGCATTTACTAAATAAAGTCTCTTATTCTTTGGAAAAAGCCTCCACGCCCCAGATGCTCTTCAGCCAAGATGATCAAATTCTCAGCACGTTGTGAATCGGTTCACGGAGGTTTTGCATAATGCTCAAGGTCGCAAAATGTCAAGTGCCTTTGAGATGTATTGCTTTCGGTGCTTCAGCCTTTTATGACAGCCGGGCCTCTTGCAGAAAGCAGCAGTGTGAGGTGGTGGCTGTAGGAGGGTATTCCGTTTGTTTTTTTTTTGTCTCCGTCTGAGGTTTAATGACTTAAAGGAGTTTGTTTAAATTGAACAAGCCGATTGTTTTCCTAGTTTTAGTATGAGGCCTTCTGTCTGAAGGCAGAGCACCAACGTCCTGCCAGACCAGGACAATCCCTAACTGGGGTAGTGCTATCCACAGTTATCTGGGGTGCTTTCAGTAAGCAGAGTCCTCTGTTTTGGTGCTATAGAGCAGACGATGGCTCTTATTGAATGGTATTAGTAGAATGCTTTCAGACAACCTTTGCTTTCCGGGCAAAAACCTAAATCTACCATTTTGAAGAGTTGACCCTACATTAAGGTATGGTTTTGGTGTCGGTAGTAATTCAAAAATTTTGTAAAGCACTGCATTTATAGGACGGGAAACTCCTCATCCACCACAGAAGTGAAGTACCCCATTCCGAGGTATATTAGGTGGAGAAGCTGTTCCGAGCATTGTGATGAGATTTGATCTGCTGTCAGAACCTCCGTTAAATCTGTCATCTGAGGGACAGCACCTCCCACAGCACAAGGTCCATTTCAGTAATCATTTCACTGTTGCAAGGGTTCATGGGATGTACGTCTGCTGCGATTTTTCTCCGAAATCGCCTTTAAAAATTTCGGGCAGTAACTTGTTTGAATTCCAGATTTCAGTTTCTCATTTGCTGAGCAGTGGGAAAAGTCTCCTATTGGAAGCATGTAGCCAAGCGATGAGAGTGCACAGAGAGATCCATTGTGTTTCTGGCCTAATGCTCTCCCAGTCACGAAGCCTGCCAGCAAGTTCAGGTTCCAGTATGTGAGGCAAAGCTAAGGAGTGGGATAAAACAACTGTGATTAGCACCTCTCATTTGAGGTCTGTGAGTAAAGCATGAAAGCAGACTCACTATAGGCTCATTAAGAAAACAAGACCGAAACCTCTGTGGGCTGAACTAGCCCTTGAGTCATTCCTGAGCAAAAAGGTTTTCCACCTACTCGCTCAACAGGCCACAGTACGGGACAAAGCATCTTCCTGTGGTATGGAACAGTGTCTAAGAGTTCAGGTGGTAGACCAGTGCGACCCACGTGTTGGAAAGTCTGTGTATTTGTCTAGGCTTTGAAGAAAAATATAATCCGTAGGAAGTGAGCCTTTAACTGTTAATACTCTTCCTGTTGGCAGTAGATGAAAATCCTCTCTCTGATGCAGAATGGCCCCCCGGTAGGCTGTTGTGTAGTGCAGAGGATTGTGGGAAGTGTCCCCAGTGATGGAGCTGACCTTGTTCCGGTTCTGCAGCTCCCAGCCCCACCTCTGCGGTCCACTACCTGGCGACCAAGTGCGTGGACAACCGCAAGCACCACCAGAGGACGAAGTGGTTCATGCCCTGGGGCCCGAACCAGTGTGACAAGATCCGGGATTTCGACGAGGCCATGGGCAAGATGATCGAGGCCAACGACATCGTGTTCGCCGTCCACGTCCCCCTGCCCAACAAGGAGATGAGCCCCTGGTTCCAGTTCATGCTCCTCATCCTGCAGTTCGACATCGCCTTCAGGCTCGTCAACCAGATAGGTAAGTGGTGCCCGCGGGGCTGCTGTGAGCAGGAGCACGCGGACGAGCCGGAGAGGCCCGGTCCTTGAAGATGAGAGCCCACATGTTGGGACCCGTTGCACGTCCTTGTGGAGGCTCAGGCTGCTGGTTTTTACTGGTGGGGCTTGTCGTGCTTTGATTTGCTAGCAGCTGCTTATTGAATCTATGTGCTACAATATATTAAGTGTGAAAATATCCAAGTGTGGTTTCATGTGTTGCACTTTGTTTTCAAGTGCATTGCTTTTGGCTGGTTCTGGCATATTCTTTTCCTCCCACCTGGCAGCTCCTTGTACTGACCGTGTTCTGTCTGGACAGCGGCCTTGAGGTTGGAGAGGCCACGCTCGTTTTAATCTCTGTGCCTGTGATTTCTCTTTAGATCTGTTTAATAAGTGTGCTTGCGCCCAGACGGGACATTGTGCCCTTCAGATACACAATCTGCCACATGCCAAGCCCAGAATAGCCTGGAAAGTGTTATGCTATGCAGGGGTATTGTCTGCGATCTGTAATTGGCATTTGCTGTTGCATAAAAGCCTTCATGAAAGAGAGAGAGAGAAAGGGGTGGAGGAGGGGTTCTTCCACACTGATTCAAAGGAAGTTCCGGCACAGCGCTGATGTGATATGTAATCCGCCTTTCCCTTTTTCCTTGTTGAAACATGATCGTGGGATTGTTATAGCTGCAGTCCAGTGCATATTTTAGACATTTTCCCCCAGAAACCATTCTGAGGGTTGGGCCCTGGCTCCGGGCCAGGGCCGGCTCTCAATGGGGGGATTAAGGGATAACATGGCTTCTTAATGAAGGGCCGCTGTTGAGCTGCACGGCCTGGGAAAGCGATCGGAACGCAGGCCTGGGCCTCATCTGAGGCAAGAGCCATTTTCTGTCTGCTGGGGACTCTGTTCGCCTGCGTCTCCCAACCGCAGGACGAGAGCTGTAAAGGAACCTACCGAGTTACTGTTTGTAAGGAATCGAACCCATCATCCTGTCAAGTTTTAAGATTCTAGCAGCATGTTGCATTTCTTGCTTGTAGATCAATGCTGGCCATCGCTCTGGATTTTAACAGTGCGTTTTAATTCGGATGTGCTCGTTGCTGTGCTGATATTCCATCTCTGACCGGCGGCCCGATGGGTCTCTGCATGAAGAAGTCAGCCTACACCCTGGCCTTGCAGACAGCAGGCGAAATCTTATCGTTTGAGCCCGTTTCTCCCCAGCTGTTGCAGGGAGTGTGAAAGCACAGGCATCTGGGAGAAATGTCAGCAGTTCAGGCCCCCTGTTCTTTAAGGATGTGAGACAAGTGGTGTTTACATTGACGATGTCCCAAGACTTAGTTGTAACCTTTTCTTTCCACAGCTGTGATTTTTTTTTTTCTTTCTCTTCTGCCCTTTTGAAGGATCTCCTTTTCAACAGTCGGCTTTGTTCGTTTGGCAGGTTTTAATTAAATATAACAAATTAGGCATTGTGAGTTTTTCGGACGTGGCTTTTTCGGAGAACGGATTTTTTTTTTAAGTAGGTCCGATCTTTCTTCATGGAGTTGATACTTCTTGTATAGTGACAATGCTATTGAATGGGGAAATGCAAGACCCCAATGGGTGTTTTAACTAATTGATAAAAGAGGTAACATAACTGTAAATAGAACTCAAATCCCCTCTCAATGCAATAAAGCCCGTTCACACAAGCAGGGCGAAATGAATACCCTGCACAAACGACTCTGGCAGGCGTCCAGCAATAACACAGCTGTTGAAATGGCTTAGTCGCCAGGGCAGTGAGCGCTGTGCAGCAAGGGAATGCTTGTGAGGAGCAAGCTGACATTCAGGCGTTTGGCAGCAGCTCCGGGCTGGAAGAAAGATGGCAAAGAAAAAGTGCCAATAATCCCTCCATTCTGACCGCAGGAATTTTTTTTTTTTTTTGGGGGGTCTTGTTTCGTAACAGCACAAGGGCCCCCTTTTGAAATGTGAAGTGCGATTGCATGGCTGTGCAATCAGATCTAAACGGGCCTGTTGCAGGCCGCCATTCCTCGTCTCCCTCATGCGGTCCAGACGAGGTTTGAAGGCCCGGCGTGCGAGTGTGGCACGGGCTCGTCACGGACAGGGAAGGGCTGCAGTCCCTGTGTCCCAGGCTGTGTTCTAAAGCATAGGCGTCGATGTTATTCTTGAGTCTTGGCAATGGGAGCTGCAGGAGAGGATGCTCACCATGTGCGAGTTCATGTTTAATCTGAGATGAGTTTCAGGTTTTCTGCCCTGACGTTGGGTGATGAATGTCTAGTCGGTGGACAGGCTCTTGGTCTGGGTCACTTGCAAGGCCATAGAAGTGACGTCAGAAGTGGCTGTTGTGCTTTTATACACCCAATGAATCTGGTTGAGGAGAAACGAGGCTCAAAAACCGATGGCCTTCGGCACACTTCTGAACCTGGAAAGAAAAAAAAACCTACCTCATCCAAAACCAGCCTCCGGACGGCTCCCTGGAAGATGGTAACCCAAGATGTTCAGGTGTTACGCGGGACTTCAGCTCCTCTGTGTTCCTCAGTCAGGACCCAGTTCGTCTTCCCTGCCGGGTTTCCCTCCAGATTTAACCGGCCTCTCTAATGACCTTTTCCAACAGTGCCAACTGCCAGCGCATCGCTCATCGGGGGCGTTTTATTACACCGCTTGTTTGGTTTCATGAAATAAAGCTTTGTTTGAAAACGTTATCTTGAAGCCTGACTGGTGACATAGCGTGTTCTTGAATGCTTTATTCACCTCATCTGCCTAATGTCGTGAAAAGCTGCTTCCAGGCTTGCTGTTTCGCACGGAGCCTAGCTGGAAACCATTACTGGAAGCCGTTTGGCGGTTCCCGAAGGGGGGTAACCGTTTTATCGAGCTACGAAGTCCTCAGTCCCCTCCCTGGTAACTTGGAATGCGAACCGTTTGTTCCTGCAGAAACGGGAGCTGTGGTGACCATCGACGTCGGCCTGGCCTACAGGGACGACACTCTCAGCGAGTGGACAGAAATGGCCCATTCCACCGAGCAGCGCAGGCTCAGCTGCAACTTCTCCACCCCCAAGGTGAGCTGGGCCAGCAGGGCGCCGGGCGTGTTGAGCAGAAGCCCGTGGCGGGTGTGGAGTATTGGGTCTATGATTGTCTGAAGACATTGCACTGGCCTCTCCTGTGCCGTTCCATTAATAGTTATGGTATTGGCAGCAGCCTTGGTTGATTAACATGGCTTCTTTTCAAGCTTCAAAGAAGTGCAATTCTTAATGCAAGTCTTCCGTGTTTAAAGTTCCTTGTAGTGGCAAAGCAAGACTGAATCTATTCATGGAAGAATCTTTTACGGTCCAGAAATTATTCATCCACAGCCATAAAGGGTAAAAAAAAATAAATCAAGTGACTTTCTTTGCTGTGTTTAAAGACTTTTCTTAAGTGCGTAGGCAAAGCTTTGTTGACCACATGACTTATTACACTCCTCTATACCGAGCTGGGCATCTTGTCCATTGCAGACGCCCGAGAACGAGGGTCGTCACTACGAGTGCGACCTGCTGCCCTTCATGGAGGTGGGAAGCGTGGCGCACAAATATTACCTCATCAACATCCGCCTCCCAGTGAACGAGAGGAAGAAGATCAACGTTGGCATTGGAGAAATCAAAGACATCCGTCTGGTGGTGAGTATGCCGTCCCCTTCATGTCAATCCTGGTGCCCTGGAAGGCTCTAACTGACCCAAGCGCCTGCTCTTGCTTGTCCTAGGGCATTCACCAAAATGGGGGCTTCACCAAAGTGTGGTTTGCCATGAAGACCTTCCTCACTCCCAGTATCCTCATCATCATGATCTGGTACTGGAGGCGAATCACCCTGATGACGCGGCCGCCGGTGCTGCTGGAGAAGTAAGGTCCCGCTGCGCAGCAGGTGTTCATGGGCCGCGGACGGCGCTCGGGTCGCCTTCGTCGACTGTGTGCAGGGAAGCAGCCTTGTGTCGGTGGTCTTTCAAACCTTCGGGTTGTTGTCTTGTGGCTTGAATTTTTATATTGTTCTGCTTGTGTGACAGAGGAAGTCCGAGGCCTTGTGTAATGATGATTCCAATAACATTCAGTTTTTTTAATCCTAGAGCAAAGTTTTTCGGTTCTGTGGAATATGCAATAGTTTTTTTTAAATAACTTTTACACGGAAAGCTTTTATTTAAAAACAAAAAGCTTCCTTTTGGCTGTCCTCCTGCTGCTGTGGTCACTTCTGCAGCCTGACTAGACTTAATGCAGTTACACAATAGATATACCCTCCTACACAGGCACTTCAGCCTTTTAAGGGCAGTCGGCATCGGAGATTTCCCAAACTGGGAGCTGTACCAGCGCACGGATGTGCGATTCACTGGGGGAAGTAATTTTTTAATGCTGTAAAAGCATTGGTGTCTCTCTGATGTCACGCTTCAGTATCTGAGCATGAGGATGGAAATTGAAAACCCTTTCTAAAGTTAAAGTGTGTGCTTCAAGTGGTCCCTGGTGAATCTCTCGGTGTGGGAACGAAGCCAAAAGGATACAAAGGAGATTCATTGAACTGAGGTTTGCATGTTTTTTTTTTCATGTTTCTAAACTAGATGCATTTATAGGCCAGCAGAAGAACATGTAGTGGCAAGAAAGCAAAAGTTATAATGTTTTGCACAATGGAATTCTTGGCGCGATGCTTACAAAGTAGAGATCTGTTGTTTGTAACATACTGGCACCAAAACAGAATTTGACCTTATCGTGTCTGCGCTCTGCAGTCCACGTGCAGGTCTGACCTGCAGCTCGCGTGCACACAAGATGAGCTACGCCGATCTCGTCGGTGCACTGGCTGGAGGTGCTCTTGTGTAATTCCACACTGAGCGCAACGTTGCCTTTTTTTAAATTTAAATTAACCCCTCCGGCGCAATGAAAGTCGTCGGCCGGCTGCCCCCCTCTGAGTGCACGTTGGTTTGGGCGCGCTCTGCAGATCAGCCAGGCTGGCCTCTGTGTGGGCTCCTGCTGCTCTCCGGCTGAATCGAAGGCCCAGCCCTGGGACCAGAGAAGAGCCCTCGCTGCCGGCCAGCTTGAAGCATTGCTCGGTTCAGAACCCCAGGGCGAAATGGCAGGACTCTCCCTGCGGCCCGGGGCGGTGTGGCACCGTTCCCGTGGAATCTTTAGTGCCAAGCGGAAGCACCTCTGTACACTGGAATGTCATAATCTGGACGTGTGTTTTTTTCGGGGCTGAGCCGCTGTGCCGCGGACGAGCTCCGCCGTTTCTGATCCGTCTCGCCGTTTCTGATCCGTCTCGCCGTTTCTGATCCGTCTCGCCGTTTCTGATCCGTCTCGCCGTT